AATATGTATGTTTCTGATAGCAGAATTTGAAAATAAATGAAGCAAGAATTAACAGAGAAAAATGAAAACTTGTTGGAGCATAGTTGGAGATTTAATGCGTCCTTCAAATGTGACAAAATATGCTAAAAACATCAGTGAAAATATAGACTACAACAGAAATTTATAGCATACTACACCCAAGACTTGCAAAATATGCGTATTTTAAGTACACAGGGTGCAGTCATCAAGATAAAGTGTACGATGGATTATGTCTCAATAATTTTCAAAATATTTAAAATCTTAACGAGTAAACTTTCTAACTACAGTGTAATTATATAACACTATAATATAATTATCAATAATGATAAGATACTAGAAAACACTCAAGTACTTGGAAATTAATCTACAATTCTAAATATATAACCCAATGATAAAAGAAAAAATTCAAAGAAAGAGAAATTAAAATATCTTAATTAAAATTAAAATACCACAGTTACACATCAAAATTTATAGGATACACGGAAAGCAGTTCTTAGAAATAACTTTCTAACTCTAAATGTCCTATTCAATTTAAGAATAAGTTTAAACCATCTATCTTAGTTTCTAATTTAAGAAGATTAAATCTGGGACGGGGATTTAGCTCAGTGGCACCATGCCTGCCTAGCAAGCTCGAGGTAACTAAGTTTGATCCACCCCTGCCCCCACAAAAAGAAAATTAAGTCAGTGGAAAAAAGACACAATAATGAAGAACATAAAACACTGAAATAAAATCCAAGTAATAAAGTTATTAAACACCAAATTTGGTTTTCTAAAGGGATTACTACTTTGAACTTCATAAAGCTTTCTATTAGAAAGGAAAGCCAGTACAATACCTTGGGAAAACAATTTGGCATTTTATTTTTCTTTTAGAATATGAACATGCTCTAAAAATTTTGTGATTCTTCTCTTAATTATAAACCAAAAAGAAAGTCTGGCAAATCTGCACCAAGAAGTTAATGTGTTTATAGGCATACTATTTGCTACAGAAGAAACTAGTAATCATCTATAACAGGAGAAAGATACACGAAGTGTGGTGTATACAAACACTAGTGTATTTGAAAACAAATCAGTCATGGCTAGGCACAGCAATTCAATGTTTAGATACTATGCATTGTTCTTAGCACTTGAAATACACCAATTAATAAAACCCATAAGGATCTCTACCCTCAAATAATTACCTTCTTGGATGAAGAAAAATAATGAGTAATATACATAATAGGTAAATTATGCATACGGCACAGTAAAAATTGGTAAAACATTATGAATAAAAGTAGAAGAAAGATTAGAAGTCTCAAGAATAGTAGATTTTTGGGAGAAACTGGGATGTCATCAAAAGTGATGCATAAGGAGATTGCGCATAGAAAATATCAAATGGATAGCATGATTATGAATCTTGGCGATACTACTGAATGACAAAAGTACCTCCCAGATCATTCCCCTGTCCCAGTTTTTACCCGTGGCCATGAAAAACTCACATGAAATCCTGTAACTCCTGCTATGAATATTGTGGAGGCCTCCTTGTGAGAGGGAAGATGCCAAAATCAAAGTGGCTTGGATTACTGAATCACTACCTAGAGACATTAAGGTGAAGGGAAATGCTGTCTCTAAATTACTGTGTAAGCTGTCTCATGATTTCAGAAATGTCTTTAAGTCACTGACATACAGTCAATGTTCAGTAAACTGGAAAACAGTAAATGTAAACAATTTCAACTGGCTACACGATGTCTTTTATCAACGTCTTTTTTTGAAGAGCTGGTATTTACATATTTGAAATTATATCTTCAAAATATTTACATTTTGTGAAAAACAATTCTCTATGTTTTTATATCATTAGACTACATTATATATAGTAATTTTTCTAGATTTCAGAGACAATCTTGCATTCATAATACATTTCATCACGTAGATAAATACGTTCCATGAAGTTCATTCCATATGTGGGCTATGTAGCTATAATTTCAAATATTTTAAAAGTCAGTGGAAATTATTTTTATGGTTCATTAGTTTTTGACTTTGAAAAAGGAAGATTTTATTTGAAAAAGGAAATTCATGTTTTCTGTTTTTATTAAGTGGTTTAAATGTAGTATTATAAGTAAAAACTGTGACTTGTAAGCATATACTTTGGGGGTCACAGGGAATTCTTTTACAAATTTAAATAAGAAACAATTTCTTTAAATAATTTGAACAAATATCACCCTAAATTATACTATGGTTTTACCCTAGGATGACTGTAAAGAAATGTCAATAAATGACCTATTAAGTAGTTAATTATAGCTACTTAGAGGGGTTAGATTTTATAATTGACTATTAAAACTCAAAAGACTTCTGGATAATATTAATTTCATGTTATACTTATTATTTTGAATATTTAATAGATTTCATATATTTTTGACTTAATGATAATTTCAAAGATAGTTAGACTTCACAATGACTAAAACAAGTATGTGACAATGAATTAAATGGTTGTCCTCCAATTTCAACATGCACACTTATTCATATTGGCCAAAGGTCCTGGCATATACAATTATTAGATTCTAGTTTATATTTCAACTGGGTACAAATAAAACCTAAATAACATGTGTCCTATATTGTAAAGAAATAAGAATGTTCATAACATATATGTGGATGTTTTAATTTTACTTGCTTTGGTTTTTAATCAAATTAAGGGCCTTGTGCTTGCCAGGCAGGCGCACTACAGCTGAGCTACATCCCCAGCTCAGTTTTAATCTAAAACTAAGCCATTAATTCCTTGTTTAGCATCTCTAAAATGTATTTATTTATTTGTTGTATTCATTCTTCATAAGTCATACTGACACATATATGTATACATATTCCAAAATTTTAGGCAGAATCATGAGGTGCAAAATAAATAACTGAGGTGGGGGTAAGATGAAACTCTCTATTCCAAACATGGAGAGTATTGAAAGTTAATTAGAAATAGAGCTCAAAAGAGAAACACACTCACATAAATACTTGGGAATATTTATATTCATAAAGGATAAGTTGGCTTCTACCCATTTTATAGATCAGTAAGATGTTTGTAAAATAATTGTTAGATCAAGTACATCTCATAAGAATAGGCTTACAGTAACAAATTCAATGGTAGAAACTCATTATTTGACATTTTCATCTTCTCTCCTCATGGTACATATAGTTTTAAAATTCCTATGCATTTATAGTACAGTATACTCTTCCATACATGTATCTAGATATCAAGGTGTAGAATTTCAGAAATTTGAATATATTCTTTGAACATCTGGAGTTATACATATCTGAAATATACAGCTGTGTTTATTTCCATGCTTACACATTTACATGCATATAATATGATTTTCTTAAATGCATATTTTATATATGTGAGACTATTCAAACAAATGCATTTGCTATACTTATTTGAATATGCATCTGAAAAAGTATTCCAATGAATTTGCCACATTTATTTCAATGTAACAGTAGTTATTTACATACTTATTAATACACAATAACAACTGTCATACTAAAACCAAATATTTTCAAGATTAAAGAAACTTACTGGGGGATATGAATTATACAAATCAAAGGATTCTTGTACAGAGCTACTCAGAGTTAGAAAGCCTTCAAAAGAATTTGGAAATTTGGTAGACCAAGAAAATGAAATAATTTGGAATTGGCAAGTGTTTCTTTTATTCCAACAATTTTATCACACTATGATATAGGCATTTTAGTGGAATCTCAAAGCATGTGTCCAGGGACATTATTTAGTTATTTTCTTACTATTACTATTTCTGGTAAGATATACATTTCTTGATTTGGTTTAATGTCGAAAAAATAAGTTTCCCCATTTTAAAGCCAAATCCATTAAAAATCTGGCCAAGAGAATTTATATAATCTCATTTAGCTGTACCTTTATTTCTGGGAGAGGAATTGGAGATCAGAGAATGTTTCTGGAGGGTAGAAAATAAAATTACATTTTGGATTTAATTCCTGGGCATTATATCCTGGGAGATTTGAAAACATTCTGGTTAGTCTATTTATACTTGTTTCAGTTTTTTCTTTTCTTCCTTCCTTCCTTCATATCTTTTTTTGTATGCGACTTTCTTAGTTATGAGCTTTTCGAAAATGATGGCCTAGCCAAAGAAAGGTGACTTGAAGAAAAACATTAAACTGAAAGTTGCACAGATTTTCGAAGGAATTTTAAATTCAGCTTACCACAGCATAAAAATGACTTCAGACGCATGTTTGTAGAATGATTAAGTAAATGTATGCTTTCCTAGCTTGTTTAATTCTTCATAGGCCGAAAATAACCTCTTGGCTGGTTTTCTAAGGATTATATTAAGCACAGTGTACAGATCATTCAATTATCAAATGCATTCCAAATAATAGTATCTTTTTTTTTTTTTTTTAACGTTTTGTTTTTGTTTTTGTGGTCCTGGAGATCGAACTCGATCCCTTGCACTTGCAAGGCAGGCTGCCGAACCACTGAGCCAAATTGCCTGCCCAATAATAATATCTTAATATTTCATTCCTATTTTGTAGATGTGAAAACAAAGTACCTGAAATGGGACCCCCAAACTTTAGTTGTTCGTCACATTTGATCAATAGCCATCTGCAACTTGATTAATCTCCTGTTAAAATTAATACTCTAAATATAAAACTTTTACCTTTTTTGCTGCTTGAATTTGCAAGCAACAGTGTTTTCAGTTGACTGAATATGGGATACTTGAGAATGTATGATTTTAGACAGTGTGTGTGTTAGGTATGTAGGATTCAATAGTCAAGATAACATTTCTTGCGTTTTAAATTTGTAAAGCAAATTACAGGTCTTTTAATTTCTACAGTCACCTTGCTGGACAGTATCTGAGCTCAGGACGTGCATCAAGAGGAAGCAAAGGCCTTGGGGCGCGGGCTTTTGCTTTTTGGACCCATTCAGAGGCGGGAGAGAGATCAGCCAATCAGAGAGCAGACGGAGGAGTGGCCCCGCCCCCGCCGGCCTTACCACGCCCCTTTCGAACAGTCCTGTGGGAATAGGGTTGTGCTGCAGCCTCGTCCCGCCCCCACCTCTGAGTGACAACACCGTGGACAGCAACATTTCCAGCCGGACACGGAGTTTGTCGGCCCTTGCCTTGGTTGAGCTGAGGTGTGTGCGTGTGTCTGGCGAGGGCGAGGGGACTGGGGTGACCTGCGCGGGTATCTTGGGCTGCTGAACTGAAAACGCGCACCTCCTTAAGCGAGCCTCCAAAGCGTTTGGGAGAGCACCGTTCCGCCCCTAGGAGGAGCTCCATGGGCGGTCTGGGTGGAGGGAGACTCTGCCAGGGCAATCGGAGCTCCGGAAACCCAGAAGGTGCGGTGATCACCGAACGGCTCCTTCCAGGGGCGATGGGCGCTCGCCGTGGGGGTGGGCGCTGGCCCGGTGGGCCGCGAAGTAGGCGTGGCCTCCGCGTTGCTAAGGAAAGCACGGCTCCCGCCCTGCCAGCGTGTCTAGCGCGGGCCTCTGGGCACTGGAAACCTTAGCCCCGCCCACTTCCCTAAGCCTTTCTCTGAGTGAGGGATTGGCTTCCTTGTGCTGTCAGTTAATCTCGGCCCTTTATTCATTTCAGGGTCCCCTCCCAGGTCTCCATTTCACCCTCTGGCCTTTCTTTCCTGTTTTACTCCTCACTGTTTTTTCTGTTTCTCTTTATTGATGACCTAGTATTTGCAGACCAAAATATTTGCAGAGAAGAGTGAATTTATTGATGGAGGCGGTGGAATATGGTTCCTTTTACTTAGTGCTTGGTGAATCCCTGAACCCACAAGATGTTTGTGTCCATGCATGACTAGGACGAGAAGGCTGCTGGATCTGGTCTTTTCCATTTGGAGTTCTGTTTCTCTTTGCATCCTGTTCGCGTTTGAGCTCAATGAACTTCCTCAGGAAGTGGAGGAGATTCATTATGGAGAGACACCAATATGTTTTATCTTCCTCTCAGTCCCTATTTGCTAAACCTGTAAACTTTTACCCCCTATTGGGCCCATATTTAATGATCAACGAAGACATGGTAACAAAGATAAATATTTCAAATCTCTCCCTTAGCTCATATTATTTGGCCCCAAATCATTTACCAGAGCAAACATGCCAGGGTGAAAACATGCTAAAAGGCTGCTTTTACTTCCCTGTGCCAGGTTTACAGTGTAAATCCTCAGGAAGGAAACTTGTGCTGCTTCTTAACCTTAGAAGCTGCACTGATCTACAAGTCAAGAAACTGACAGGATAATTGTCCTTGGGCAATAACCCTCAATATTCTTTCTGATCTGTAAGGTGAGGATCCTAGTATGTGCCCTTCCTTCCAAAACAAGGAGGAATAATTGATTTCAAAATACAATTAAAATGGTACACAGGTAAAGAGTGTTGTTGATTACACTGTTAATCTTTCTGTCTGTATGATCTGAACTTTTCAAGACTGAGTTTTTTTCATATTTATTTTTCTTTTTGAATTTAGAAATGAAGAATAAAGCCATTCATCTGTCCATAACTGATTCAGTGTTGCTTCTGACTGGGTAACACCGAAAATGTCTTGTGGGGCACTTTTATTTTCCTTTAACATCACCAGGGTTTTTTGTTTTTGTTGTCGTTGTCGTTATTTTCAAGCATAGCCTGAAAGGATTGGGAAACAGTTTCTAATCCAATGATGGCTTTTTTTTTTTTTTTTTTTTTTTTTTTTTTGGTGTCCTATGCTATGTTGGGAAGTAAAAAGAAGCCACTGACTATCCACTTAGAAAAAGACACAATTTGAAGTCTAAGTGAATGCTGGATTAAGAACACCTGTTTTTCTTCAACTATTTCCCTCATGCTTCATGCCCAAGGAATTTAGTATATGTCTTCACTTGGAGTTGTGTTTTTCTCCTTCATACTGTAGCTTTCATACTATAGCTTACAGTTCAGAATCATCGCTCCACATCAAGTTTTTAGCAGTTAACAAACAAGAACTACCAAAGCTCAGTAACTTATTGCTGTACCACAAAACTAGGTAAACTGTATTTTATTCCAAATGTCCTTAAAGCAACTCTGATCTCTAAGCAAGTGAAAGGAGAACTTAATATTTTAGGAAAATATTCAGTAATATTTTTGAGATAAACATGAAATATATAATTTTCTCTTCCATCAAAGTCTATTTTGAACAAAGAAAAACAGTGCCATTACCCTATTCTTAGGACTGTTTTTCAACTTAAGTGAAAAATCTTATATTGTAACTTTTGGTGACTAAAAAAGTATTGTGGTTGGTTTCACTGTGGCTCTTTTCCTGATTTCTTTATTCAAATAGAGGTCATCATTTTCTTTACTCAAGTTACTAATAAAAGTTAGAATTAGTTGTAGATGTAATATGTTATTATTGAATAAAGAGAACTTGAAGAAGGAACCACTTATCACTTTTACAATAAACACTCAAATGTATAGAAGCCCTGTTTTGGCCTTAGCACTTCCAACTCAATTTGCACTCTAGTATTTTACTCTTCCATTTGATATGACTGTATTTGTCTTCATTTCTCATAGAGAAAAATGGATTCGAAAGAGCATTACAATGACTTAGAGATTCTAAGTGCCCAGTATTAGCTTTATCACTTCTGTCTTGAGTTGTAAAAAGATACTTGGGGTTTATGACATCAGATTTGTTACTACAAGCTGATTGGGGTTGTTACTAATAAGCTTTAGGTAGGAGTGCTATTGCTTCCTACTCACCTTCACTTCCTCACTCCTTTCTTTCCCATAACCTGGACTTTAATCCAACTCAGAAACAATTTCAGTTTGCAGAACAGAATTACTGCTGAGTTTGGTCCAGAACAACTCTATCATTGGAGTAATGTGGACCTGTGCATTTAATAAGCCACAAATCAAATAACTCCTGGTGGAAAGGTGCGAACAAGGAATGAGATTTTAGGCCAGAACTGTTAACTGGTGTTCTGCTTTTCCCTTATGGGTGATACCCCTAGGGAGACTTGAAACATGTGGGAGTATTTTTTAGTTATTACTAAAGGTTATTATTTATTAAGTTATTATTTTTAGGTTATTAATGTAGATATTCGTTGAGCACACTGAGTATCAAGGAGGAGAAACATTGGGTAATGTAGAGTTTTACCATATTACTGAAGTATTTTCATTTCTTACTTCAGTAGCACAAGGCATCTCCTGCAAGAAGCGCTGGCCCAGTGGAAATCCTCTATGTAGAAACGTGAAGCAAGGCTATATTTCCCCAGTCATTGTTCACGAGTGTCCCCATTTCTTATTTCAATAGATTTGGTTCTCTGAAGGTCTTTAAAAATGCTGCTTTTACTCTTTTTGGTATTTTTAAGTGAGGTAAGTATATATCCGTGACAAAGAAATGGATTACTTCATAATTTTGAAATACTAAAAAAAACAAAAAGATAAATATTCTGTACTCTTGTGTTTTTTTTTGTTTTTGTTTTTTTTTTTTGTTTTTGTTTTTTTTTTTTGTTTTTGTTTTTTTTTTTTGTTTTTGTTTTTTTTTTTTGTTTTTGTTTTTTTTTTTTGTTTTTGTTTTTTTTTTTTGTTTTTGTTTTTTTTCTTTTTGGTACCGGGGATTGAACTCAGGTCCTTGCCCTTGCAAGGCAGGCCACTGAAAAGCTGAGCTAAATCCCCGGCCCTGTACTCACGTGTCTAGCAAACTATTTTGTTAAATCAGAACATCCAAGTGATTCTGCAAATGATGAACATTTTTCAATTGCATGGCTTTTAAGCCACTGACTGTGGAAAATGGCAGCAAGAATTAAGTAACTTAGTTTTTCTGTAATAGTATTATGTGGTGATGTAATTGCAAGGATAGCGTACCAATTAGATTGAAAAACAAATTTTAACAGACGGAAAGATCATTTAATTCAAAGCCCATGTGTTTTACATACTTTGAATATTGAAAATATTCACATATTGTAATGTTTAGAATTACAAATTGTATAGGTACCCAAGGCAAGGTCCTAATTTTGAGTTGCATTTTCTTACTACAGCAGCTGGAAGGTGCTCTGGATGGAAAGCTTTGGACTTGGCTCCAGTGGTGTACTTTACTGGGGTATATGACATTTCCAGTCCTCAGGTTCCTTATTTATGTGGAATGTGTGAAGATTTGTGGTTCTCTACCATTTTTTGAACATTATGATTGAACATCAAAATGCATTTCCTCTTACAGTAATTCAACGTAGCACTGAATCTCTCTGGGCAGAGGCATATCATTTTTTAGTATGTATCTTAGTTACTTTTCTCATTTCTGGGACAGAATACCCAACAGCCATAAGTTAAAGGAGGAAAGGTTTATTTGGCTTATAGATTGTAGAGGTTCCATTTCATAGTCTGCCGGCTGCAAGGCAGGGTGGCACAGCAGAGGGGTGTTACACAGGAGACACAGTTTATGGCTTGGCAGGCAGCAGAAAGGCAGAAGCAAGCCTGCTTTCTTTCTGTCCCTTTATAGCCATCCAGGCTATAAACACCCATATCCGGGGTGGGACTTCCACTATCTACACCCTTAATCCTGGTATCACATGCTTAATCCACATTCACACACCCTAGTCCAGCCACCTTTGAAACTCCCTGCCTATGAGTACATGAGTCCTTGGGCTGTCATCTAGATACAAGCCCTAACAGGGTGGGTATTTGTAATAAATTTCTGATTCTGTTTTGTTTGTATTCCTAGTCCAATGTGGAAAACCTTTGGCCTGCTTGATGTTAATGTGTGAGCTGTTTTTTTCTAAACTAAAACCTCAGTTTTAAGGTTTAATTGCAGTGTTGGCACTCTTCTATAAATTAGTGGGTTTTGGGTTGCAGTTTGGGTATTTGACTCAAACACTCGCCGTCAAGGGCTCATGGGGTGCATTCTTTGTTCTTTCTTCAACACCTGTCGCCTTTAAACATATTTGGAAAAATTTGGACAGCGTTGAAATGATCTATATGGTTGCTTTAAGTGCCAAATGGATAAATTTATCATTTGAAAATAAATCAAGTGGAATGAAACATCCCCCAAAATCAAGGCAATAGAAATCAGCAGAAGACTCACAGGCATACCTCCAAAAATCTAATAAACAGAAATTTCAGTTAAAGAACATTTCAGTGAGTCCTTTAACTGCTAACACTGTCAAGAATACATGACCTCCATGGACAAGAGAATTCCTTTCAGGTGAATGAAATGACATGATGATAAATTGACAGTAGGAAGACAATAAGGGATAACAAAAAGATGACAAAGAATCTATAAATATTAGAGCAGATTTTGGTTTTATTCTTGCTTTATTATTACCATAAATTTAGTAGTTTGAAACAACACAATTTTATTTTCTTAAAATTCTATAGTTCAGAGCAATCTGGCACAGGTTACACTGGGCGTAAATCAAGGTATTGGGAGGACTGCGTTCCCTGATGGAGAGAATACTTCCTTGTCTTTCCAGTTTTTAGGAGCTACTCACATTCTTTAGTGTTTGGTCCTCTTTTTCCACCTTCAAAGCCAGCGACATTGCACCTCTCCATTCTTCTGTAACTTTGTCTCCTTGTCACCATAGCTGGGAAAGGGCATCCACTGTTTAAAGACGTGTCTAGATAATCCAGGTAAATCTCCCACTTTCAAAGTTCTTCTTTTAATCATGTAGCAAAGTCTTTCTGCCCTACAAGGTAACTTATTCACAGGTTCTGGGAATTAGGCCTGGGACAAGCTATTTTTAATGATCTTATAATTAGTAAAGTTTGTATTATCAAATATTTGGGGTTAAATTTTGTGTTGGTATTATTATCAAACAGCAGTGTGGAAGTACTTAAATTTTTTACTGCTATCCATGTGAGCTTAATGGCAATGTAAAACTAGAGAAAAGTTCAGTGTTTGGCCCATATTAGGTATTTAGTAAATATTTATTGAACACAAATAAATACATTATGCATTTTTTATTAATTGACTGTGCTTCTTTGTTAATTTTTACTGGGTGTTAAGGACGTTATATACTTAAAAGTTTATGATTGAGTAAATACAATATTTTTTGTTTGTTTGTTTGTTTGTTTGTTTTACATTTTTAATTTTTTTTTGGTACCGGAGATCGAACTTGGGACCTTGTGCTTGCAAGGCAGGCTGTGGTACCAGTGAGCTGAATCCCTGGCCCAGTACAATCTTTTTATAAGTCCTGAAATAAAATAACAGAAAATAATTTCAAGTGAGTCTTTTTACATTTATACTTGCATCTACAACACAAGGGAGACACTTCCTGCTACTTTTCAGATAATTGTTTGGAACATGTTGGCAGAAGTAAATTTTAGTAGGCTTTTCTATTATAAAAGTTCTCAGAGTCCTTATTGAGGAATCAAACCTTATAAAATAGGCATAAAATGTGGTATTTAACAAATATATATATATATATATATATATATATGTTGTATACAATATCACATAGAATATTCTACATAGCTATGTACAATATCACCTATAATATTCTATATAATTATATAGATTATGTTACATATATATCAAACCTAGGGCCTTATATATGCTGGGTAAGTGCCCTATCACTGAGCTTTTCCAAATATATTCCAAGTTTGAAAATTTCTTTGGATTGATTTGGTAACAAAGCTGGCAAATCATTTTAGAAATGCTTTTACTATGATTTTATCTTGTGAACAATTAGAGAACTGGAGATCATCCACTTAATATTTTTATGTACTCTATTTTGAATTCCAGTAGAAAAAGAAACAACCAGGAATATTCGTTTTGGCATCTGGAAATGAATATGACAGAAACGCAAGTGCAGTAAAGACCTTGGTTTTGGAAAGATCTTACCCCTTGGCAGCTCCCCAAGGTTCAGACTTGGCAGCATCAAGGACACAGCACAAGGTGTGTTTATTTGATTTAACATTTGGTTAAAGTTGTTTTGATTTGTGGTTTGTTTTCTTTCCTTTTGTTTTTCTTGTTTTGTGTTGTTTGCTTCTGGCACTGAAGCTGGGTTCTGACCATAGTTCTTAGGGGAGGCAATATTACAATGAGGAAATGCTTTTACTTATGTTTATCTTGTGGTATTTGGAAAAATCCCAGTAAATGAGGCAACATTCATAGAGCTGTAAGGCTTTATGTGATTTATTTGTGATATCATTTTGTACTACCATCACCAAGATTTGTTGCTACATGAGATACTTATTCTTTCTTGGTGTTTGGCACATTGTTATACTTTGATACATTAACAATATTTTGTTAATTATATATTGAATTATATATTAAATCTTTCACTTATAATTGCCCAAACCTGGAAGCAATCAAGATATCTTTCAAGAGGTAAACAGACAGATAAACTATGGCATATCCAGACAACGGAGCCCTAAAAGCTATAAAAAGACATGGAAGAAACTTAAGTATATATTACTAGCTAAAACAAGCCAGTATGTAAAGGCTATACATTGTATAATTCCAACTCTAGAATATTCTGAAGAAACAAAAACTCTGAGAAAAAAAATTAGTGAGAGTAAGAGGTTGGGAGATAGGAAAGATAAATAGGCAGAACATAGAAGACTTAGAGAGCAGTGTAACTTTTCTGTATCATACTATACAGGTAGATACATGTCATTATACTTTTTTCAAAATCTATCAGATATGACACAAACACTGAACCCTAAAGTAAACTATAAGTTTTGAGTGATGAAGTATTAATACAGGCTCATTAGCTGTAACAGGTGTGCTACTCTGGTGAGGGATGTGGAGAAAGCAAGGCTATGGCTGTGTTGAGGCAGGAGGTATATGGGGAATTTCTATATCTTACTCTCCATTTTTCTTTGAATGTAATACAGCCCTAAGTCTTTTTTTAAGGTTATAAAAATTAACTAAGAGTGCTGGATAATTAATTAAGTAGTTTTAGAAAAATTTCCTGTATTATGAAATGATTGGGATTTTATTATCCTATTAACTAAGACACACATCCAGGGACTAGGTTACATCTCATGAATCTTCTAAAGGAAACAGCATGCACAAAATTTGTTTAAAAACGTGTATTTCAAATTATTGCCAAATTCCAAACACTTTAAAGAAAAACACCACTGAGCCTCCCAAAGCAATTTTGCAGTAAAATGTGCTATCAGCAGTCATTGTGTATCTCCCAGTCGCCTGAGTCATTCCAACTTGCTCATCTTCCCTCAGTTCTCACATCTACCTTCATCAAAGTCTGGGTACATGGGCTTATTTCAAAATCACAATGTTAATGTAAGTTATCAGGCAAGGATTGCTCACTTTTCAACCTTGCTTTAGTTAACTCTCACTAACAGGCAAATTCACAAATTTGCACACACATCCTCAGACGGGAACACTGTCCCAACAGTACCTCAGCTTTTATCTCAGTGGCCTCCTGCCACGGTTTCACTTCTGCTTATGAAATTGTCCTCACGTACAATTTCCCTGCCTTTGTAGCTTTTATTCCCATCCTTTCTATCGCCCCTGTAAATCCCTCTAGCTGGGGCAATGACACCTGCGTTACTGAATTAGCTGCATAACTCATTTTACTATTTCTAGTGCTGTTTCCCTCAAATCCATCCCATATCACTAGTAAGGGCCAAGAGGCAGGTGGTCTATATAGTGTAGATACATTAGACGAAGGGATGATTTATGTCACAAGCAGGATGAGTTGGATAGTGTGACATGTCATTACACTATACAGAATGGTGGCAATTTAAAACGTGAGTTTTGTATTTGTAGAAGTTTTCATTTAATGTTTTCAGAAGATAGTTAATGCAAAAAAGTAAAACTGCAGATAAGAGGAAACTCCTGTAATGGATGATTAGGAGGATGGAAGTGTTCTATCGTCCCATTACTAGGTCTCAACCTTTTTGTGAGCTTATCCTTTTGGACTGTGAGCTTCAAAATTGTGTCTCAATTTTTTTGCCCCCTTAGTTGGCACGGGATTTCTACAGTGGTTTGAAGTTGAGTATTTCCTTTCTTACTTTGAGAAGCCTAGAACTGACTGGGGCTGTGTATTTCCCGTCCCTCGGGTTAGTTAGGTTTTGGTTAATTTCTCCTCAGAGCAGACCTTGTTAAGAACAAAGTGCTCTGGAGTATGTAAACCTGACGGGCTGGGGATTTGGCTCAGGGGTTCCTCGGTCTACCTCGCGAGCACAGGGTCCAGAGTTCCATTCCTGATACTAAAAAGTAAAAATGGCACCTCTCCTCTCCCCATAGAGGAAGTGCGTGTGGATTTTTCTAATATTTACTATATGAACCTAAACAGTCTCCTTGAGATAAAACTCACAGAAATGTGGGGGTCCCTCACCAGAGTGGGCACCACTAGAGTTTATAACCCTCAGGCTTGGCTGCACTGAGCCTCGAGCAACTGTTAGTTGCAGTTCAAGTTTTGTTGCCCTGTACTGACTCCTGTAGTGTTTATGTTCATGAGTCTTCAGCTGGTGAAACATCACACTCCACCCTTTGGGGGCACGAGTTTTTCCATGTCACCTTTCTTGCAGAACCACAAAGAGTTGCTTTCAATCTATTCAACTTCTGACTGCGGTAAGGATGGATGGTGATTTCCAAATTCCTTACATGCAGAAATGAAAACAAGAAGTCAATGATAGGTTTGTCCAGGAAAGTAGGACAATATAATAAACTTTGATTCTCAAAAAGAAAATAGAAAAGTTATTGGAATATAAACGATACATCTCTTAAAGATCATGGACATTTTTTGGAATATACTATAATTTAAGGGGTATTCTAAAATTGTTTCTTATTTGCCGTTATGTGTTAGGTGTAAGATTGTTTTAAACATTAGGATACTATCTTTTTCATTGAAAGTTATAGGTTTGAGGCTTCTATGGCAGATCCAATTTTATCTAAAGATATACTCCTGGTCCACTAAAAGAAATTATATTGCCCCTCACAACGCATGTAGTGAATATATTAGTGAAATTGCAGCTTATAGATGGTAAAAAATATACCTGAAGAGGAAATAAAAAAGAATCGACAAAGTTTTTACAGGAGAAGCTTCTTTTTGTAGACAGATATTTGGGACTTCCCATAGCAGTTAGAGATTAAGTAGCCACTTTGAAAATGGTGACTGCTATACTGTGTAAGCCTTTTTTGTTCAGAAGCATTTGATTTTAGAGTAGAAATATTTTTTGAGTGACCATTGTATATGCATACTGTAAGGCATGGAAGGCACACTATTGCAACTTCCAACATATATAAGCAAAAAGATAGTAGACATAATTTGGCATCTTAAAAGTTATCCAAAAGTACTTTTATTGAAGCCCACTTAGCTGAAAACAAAAGATGTCTAGGAGATCAAGGAGTAGCCGTAACTGTACACTTACATGTAATCAAATTGTTACTGGGTTACTATACTCTGAAACCATTCTCATATCCTAATAATGTTAAATATAATGGAGCTCATTGATTATTAATGAACATGAGATCAAGGTAAAGTTTTAAAAATTTTTAAAAATCTAAATAATAACATTAAACCTGGGTGATGTAGAAATATTAATAACATTTATTGTCAGAAGCACTATTTAAACTACTCTACATGATTTATATTTTATTCAACCATCACAACTCAGCCATATGAAATAAGTGTTCTTGAAGTAACCCATTTCTAAAATGAAAATGTGCTTAGTGTGGTCAACAGCTAAAAAGTGACAGAATCAGAAACAATTTAAAGTAGGGAGGAGTTAATTACTTACATTCAAGCTCATATTCTTATTACAGATCGAAAGCTCATAGTAATATTTTAAAACTCAATGCATTCTAAATAAAGCTTTTAATAATTGAATATCAAGTATGATGTTTTATGTTCATACAATTATTTTTTGGAGAATATTTGATTAAAAAATGTGTATTAACTACTATGTGTAAGACATTATCCTTATTGTTTGAAATTCTTCAGCATTTAAAAGGAAAACCTCTTTTCTCTTGGTACTACAATTTGGTGGAGGGACGTCAGAAAATAAAATTTATATTTAATATGGAACAATAATTTTAACATTTTTAAAGCTATACTTGGTGGGTCTAAGGCCGAGTGCAGGGCAACTTGTGCTGTTACACTGAAAATCTAATTGTTCAAATCATTTTGTATTGTCTACACTGAATCATGAAAAGTATAAAATATTAAGTGCTGTAAATGTTACTTTAAATAATTAATTTGAAATTAAATAATGTTGACCATTATTATGGAGAACTCTTTTTTTCTCCTCCCTCCTTTATACACTGAAGACGCAGCGTTCCAAAGAGGCAATCATTTGCCATTTGTAAAGGAACTTTGTTTTCTATAATTACAGACAGAGGTGGTCCATGGCTAAAACAGAATGAAACAATTTGAAAAAGGCCTTATGATATATTCTTCCAGTGAAGGGCATAGTTATGTGCAATCTTAGCAACGTTAGCATCGTGAGCACAGAAGCTCACGATTAAAGATTCAATTTTGTTCTTTTTGTTTGCAACATATGGGTGTGTCTTTGTGTGTGCAAGAAAAAGAAGGGAGAGAATGAATATCAAAATGAGAATGACTTACATCAGTGCTTCCTGGGGCCTCTGTTTCAGGATCTTTTCAGAATGCTACCAATGTATCTCAGGAAACTGACTAAATGTTTACATATATTGTTAAAATAGAGGATGCCATTTTCCTCTGTCTTGGGATTCTTCTACTTTACCTCTCGCAATCTCAGTAGTACTATACTGATATTTTTCTTTCTAAGCACATCTAAAACATCACTCTGAACCTTCTATTTGATAGACCATTTTGATTGAATTCTTTCTTATCAGAGTTTAAAGCCATAAATAATGAATATGGCTTATGGACTTCAGTACTAAAGTCATAGTGACGTGGAACAGTTAAAACTTAAAATGTTCGATCACAAGGTCATTAA